TTGAAGAAGATGTCAGTATCCAGAACGTATAGCCCAAACCAAACACAGGCACTAGAGCCGTAGAGCCTACAGCCGTATGCGTAGTATGTTTTGCTGCCACCGTAGTTTCTCCTTTGTGTTTGGTGAGTGAGCTGCAATCTGCAGCTGCACCGCTAGACGCCACTAAATCCTACACACTGGACCTTTAAGTAACCTGGATTTGTATGGAAGTGCCCTCATAGGACAGTTATTGACAAATTTTCTTCTTTCTCATCAATTTCTTCTTCTCCTAACCCTCGGGGTGCAGCCTGGGGTAACCTCCTAACGGGGACATGTGTTGCCACAAGCAAATTTTTACGTCTCATTAGACGGTTTAGGTATTGCTCCCTTGCACCGTTGAGGCCACCTGTGGGACCAATAAAAGGCTGTGATGGGAGCCAGAACCTCGCTGACAGGTCACACCGTGTCTATTACTGCAGGAAACACAAATGGATCTGGAAGACTCTGGAAGTATTGCTGGTGTGTGGCAGCAGTATCATTTGACATAAAAATGCACATTGTTCTGTTTGTCATTACCTGAACAGCCCTTCACTTCCAGAGCAGTTTGGCCCAGCTCAGCCCAGACCCCGGCCATATATTTACTCAGTATTCTTTTAATGGAAAATCAGCCACTAACACTCTGAGTCCTATGTTTCCCCAACATAAGAAGAATACTGTAACTGCAACCCCAACACTTACCTATCATAAATTCAGTGCCTGGCTCTATTCAGGGAGCAGTGCTTGTGTACGAAAGGTTTAGGGACTTTAATTAAAAACAAAGGTTTGCGCAGTGGAGCTAACCACACTTAACACACTTGTGTCTAGTTTTACGGCTTTACAAGTTTTCTCTCTGATAAATGTAGTGAATTTAATCTAATTGTCATAAAGTTCCATGACTTTGTTCACACAGAGCATCTGAACACACAAAAAGCATTTTGATAATGTTCATTCAATTCTGGGTGTTTTTCAACACATGTGGTGGTCATTATAAATAAATGGCTGAGATTACAATTAGTGTATAAAATTGAGTTCAGGCACATGGCCATTCATCAGATGGACACACTTCCTCTCCCAGACCCCACATGCTTCTTTCCCCAGCCGGAACCAGATCTCACAAACAATCACAACATTGTTTCAATAATAAATAGAACTTTTCTCCAAGCAGATCTATAAAGCTTTTTTGAGGCCTCGCTCACAATTCACTGTGTCAGCACAATGACTAAACAATACTGAATATATGTCATGCTCTTCATAACATCATTGATCATGATACTGTGAGGTGGACAGAGGCCAGGAAACTGACATTAGAGGACGAAATGTCGGAAGACACATACGACAACCACCATTGATTGTGATGAATTTTTGTGTTTCTGTTTTTGTTGTTGCAATAATGTTAATGTTTTTTTTTTATGTGCTTAGCATTCATTTTGCAGTATGGTGACATTTTCATGTGTACTTGTGTCCTTTTTGCACTAATAAAATCATGCTGTTCAGTTTTGACTTGGAACAAATGTCCTTGCTAAACTTTGACACAAAGTAGTGTTTTATAAATATGTTTCACCTTAGTATTTGCAATAGTATAAAATATTCCATACATTATGCTTTTTTTTATTTACTCAAAAATGAGTTGTATGAGCTCGGGTCAGTGAGGCCTACAGGCCATAAATAGCAAATAGACAAAAAGATCAAAGACAGCACTAGGTATGATTATAGCTTTATAATCAGGTATAATCCTGTGTTTATCTGAAAGTTATAGCAAATAGAGGAAAGTAGGAAACACACCTATCAAAATACTACAAAGGTTGGATGAAACTATGAGATCCCTGAGATGTAATTAGTGTCAGTCTGCTACATAGTGCATGCATACAAATGTGATCGCAAGAAAGCGGAGGTAAAATGAACACTGTGATTGTGGCTCCAAACAGAACTATTAGGAAGAGAAGTGTGGAGCCTTTTTCCACTCATTAGCTCTGGATCTTCAACCAGTTCTGTTCAGGATACAGTAAAAGTCAGCAATCCTCTTATTAGGAATAAACCTGCCTCCTGTGTGAACTAGCTGAATAGGGTCGGCCCATTTTCATGCCTAAATATAGCATATTATACCTGTAATACGGGGAATGCTTTTAAAGCATGATACAGCCTGATTACATACGATACATCTAACACTGTGTTAAAACCTACATCATACGTATCTATAGCAACACCCCTGTTAACCCTGTGTTGATTTGAAATCCAGTTTCAGTTGCATACAAGCTACAAACTTTTAATGTCTAAGCATTTATCTGAGGAAAAAAGGGTTCTCTCGTTTCATCCAGTCACTGACTGTTTAAACCCGTGTCCCAGAATGCCCTCACACCTGCCATGAGACTTGCCCACCCAGCAGAGCGAGGGGGTGATTATCGTTAGTTACTATCAGAGGAGCACGCTGTCATTTTTATTTCAGAGCCCGACTTCCTCGGGCCTCTCTGGAGTTCCTGATATAGGCGTAGCAGTTAATGAGGGAAATACCCAAAGTTAAACCGAGCATGGGAGCCTGAGAGGGGGAGAGTGGGGGGAGGGAGCACCGGGGAGACTGGAACGTGAGAGAAAAAGTAGCAGGAGAAGGGAGAGAGATGAGGACAGAGCAGTGTGTTTTTCCTGGAGGACGGAGTGGTGTCTCTGCTGTGGCTGTGTGGGTCTCTGGCATGATGATTTGGGACAGAAAATAAAAATCACATTGCCAGGGATTACTACACTGCTACGGTGTCTGCTACTGCTGCTTCCGGAGCTGGAGGAGGATACCTGTTTGTTTTTTTTATGACAGTGTCAGACTTTCTTTTGCTCTGTTTTTACACATTTCTAAGAAAGGAGTTCTTCAAGCTGCCAGTCTGTGGATTTCTCTGAAAGAACAACTCTTTTGAGGCAAGATCAGCCGATTGGTGTGTTTGCGTCGCGTTGTATCTGCTGTTTCTGATCAGGTGCAGAGCTTAGTCGACTGCTGAACAGGGAGTCTTAGCAATTTGTTCACAGTGGCTAAGTTCTTCACTTGTACAGACTTTATGGGGAGGTATGGCTGACTGAAGATCTACATAGTCCTGTCAAAAAAGATACAGCATATTTCAAATGATTTTAAAGGGTCAAAATCAGACTGTAGTCAAACTGTAAAAGTCTTTTAGCATACAGAAATCTAAAACCAATTTGTTTGCGCTCTTGTTGTCATCGAAGGATAAGGCTGGCGACAATCTATAGTTTTTTTATTGACAACAATTGAAAACGACCAAATATCTGATATATCTCATTCCTGTGTGCCATAGAGCTCCACTGTTGTCAAAAACTATTAAAAACACATCAATGAGTCACGCTGATGTTCCTTCATTACCATCAACACACAGTTGTAGTTTAGTTTGAGTCGCACACACACCGTCCTGCTGCCGGAAATACTCACTAGAGCACTAAATATGTCCTTATCCACAGCTGAAAATAGTCCTCGAGATACGCACTGTTTCCTCCTGTTTGAGTAATGTTTGCTAAAAACTGCAGTGCCCAGCTATGTTAGCACATTACTGAGCTGTTTTTTTTAGATTAAACTATATATTTGTGAGGTATTTGTGAAGCTTGAGCACTGAGAACCACGACATGGAAGGAAAGTATACAATTATTAAAAGAACTACCAGCATGCCTCAGTTTCAAGTTTAACAGACGAAAAGTTGAACAAACTGGAAATAAAGACCAAGCCAGCGTATTGACAATTCCATTATGAATATTTCTTGTATGATAAGTATTGTAATAATAGTCACTTTTATGTAATTATTGTCAAATAACATCCAGTATAATATTAATTGAAATGAACACATCTGGACCACAATGGATTGGTGTGCAACACATTTGTGTTCGCGCAATGAGAACTTTTGGACACTTTGTCGTTACATCTAATAAGATCCACATCTTCTCTGTCCTCGGTCTGCCTATGTCGGCCGCATGCAGCATTTTTTTCTCTTGGAGAATTAGAGAATTTGCACATACAGGTTCATCAGATGTTTATCAGAGGTTTTGTAACTTCTCTGCCTTTGTTCTGCAGAATGACTGACAGTTTGACACACTGCCAGCTCAACTCATCCCTGAGAAATTAAATTAAGTTTCCCTATAACAAAAAGAAGATTATACTCAGTGGCAAACTGTGTTTACTTTTCCTTAGGACTGATGTTATCAGATAAGATAATATCATATTATAAAATAAAGTTCATTAGGAAATATAAAGACTCTTTGGGCTGCCTGCAAGTAATTACAACATGGGAAATGTGTTTTGCATGGAAATCAAATTCCTGCCATGTTTCGTTTAATGTGCAGAATTTGACACTTCTCTCATCGGCTTTGAATGGACCCACCAGAGGGCCACACGTGGAGTCTCTTGACCTTACTCAGAGGAAACATCTGGCGTCCCTCTTGTGCCTTCTGAGCTGAAAGCAGTTCGATCAAACACACTGGCTCAGTTCAGCAGGAACAGGAGTCTAGTCAACACACAACACTGTGTCACCAATACCCAGTGGAGGATCTGTGGTGAAATCTTAAGGAGTTCTCATTGACTCGGATACAACCATTATATTAAATCAATGTATTTTTCTTCTTGCTCCTGTAGTGTGCTGTGTGAATGCTGTATGTGCAGAGTTTGACTCTACAAGGATGTTTTCCCATTCATCTGCTGAAAGTGGAAAGTTTCTCTGTGCTCATTCAAAATCAGATTTTAAGGGATTTGGAAGTTAATCCTGGTCCAGTATGCAACTTGTACAGTGATGTAGAAA